TGCACAGCCCAATTTCTGCCACTGTCTCAGTAGTAAGGTGCTCTATGCTGTCAGGAACTTCAGATTAGTAGGATCATTACCCTGCTTTTTGGGTTTTTTTACTTAGTCACTTTACTTAGTCCTTTACTTTTAGTCCTTCATCAGCCAATTTTTTTTGTCTCCATTCATCTGCAGACAACTGTGGCAAGGAAGATTGGTGCAATGTCACAAGATTTCCATGAGCAGTTGGCATGCTGTCTGATAGAAGTCCCAAGCTCTCAGCTCTACTTCCATCCAGTTGTAGTCTTGCACCTTGAGTGTCAAGGATTGCTCTCACACTTTCTTCTGGTGTAACCACAGTTCTAGTGGCATTCTGGACAAAGTGTCTGCATTTACATTAGTCTTGCCATGCCTATCATATATGCTAAAATTTAATTGGCCAATACTGCTACCCACCTATGGCAACTTGGCACTGGTCAAGATTGTCAATGGGTTATCAATTGATTTTATCAATACAGACTTGGAGTTTTGTTTCACATACATAGCCTTTTAAGCTCACGTCAGAGACAAGAACTCAGGCTTATAGACAGGGTATTAAGCCTTACTGTCAGCCAAATCTCTTCTGGTGACTCCAATTGACCTCTGGTTATTGTCACTCTCTTGGTATAGGACAGCTTCTAAACCTTCCAAGCCATTATTTGGCATCCAAGAACAAAAAATTTATTTGGATCTGCATAAGTCAATACCAATGCATGGGTAGGGCAATTTATTAAATCTTCTAAGGCTTTTTCATATTTGTCTGTCCATTTATCTCCCAAACATTTTGTGGGCTTTAAGACAATTTTGCCTCTCTTGCCTTTTGGATCTGGGTCTTTGTAATCATATGTGCCTGAGTGAGGTGATTTAATGGTTTAGTCATTAGCATAGTTCTTTAAAAATTTGGAATAGTAACTACGAAATCCCAGAAGAGCTCTTAAGTTTCTAAGATTTTGTGGGTATGGCCCCTTGAGAAATGTTCTCACCTCTGGATCAGTGCTCACAGCTGTTGGGAAACAACATGGCCCACATACTTAAAAGACCTATAAAACTGTCATTTGTCCATTGACAACTTCAGACCAGCTTCCTCTAGGCCAATCTAACACTTTAGTCAGTTTCTTCTCATGTTACTCCAGTGTCTTGCCAAAGACAATAGGTACACTAACACTTCTAGATAGTTCATTTCTCCAACCACTTTCTTCATCAGCTTTTGCAAAGTGGCTTGTACCCCTGAAATGCCTTCTTGCATTCACTCAAACTGGTAAAATCCAGTTGGACAGATGAAAGCAGTCTTTTCTTTGTCTTCCTCAGACAAAACAGTCTGGTACTATCACCACTATGCAGGTCCAAGACTGAAAACCACTGGATGCCTACCAAACAATCCAGGGAATCTTGAACACATGGCATAGCACATTGATCCACTTTATTCCTTTTGTTCAAAGTTTGGTAATCAACACTCATCTATATGTTTCCATTTTTCATAGGCACCACCACTATGGATGATACTTGAGGAATTCTGGATACTGTGATGATGCCATAAACGAGCATTTCTTTAAGATAGTTTCTAAGATCCTCCATCATAGAGGATTCCTTCTAAATCTTTCTCTTAATGGTCTGGAATCAGTGAGTTAGATTCTGTGAGTTGCACATCAATCACATCCCACACCCACTCATGCAATGAGAACACACCAGTCTTCTTGCTGCATTCCAGCCCTAACCTATCCTTCCACTTTTGTGTTACTAGGGAGTCCCCAGAATCAAACACTTCAGGATCTAGCATATGGAGTTGACAGCTGGGGCTCCTATGGTGGTGTTTATTGCCTCTATTCTTTTGTAAGCCTCTGCAAAGATATTCAGAGTATTAAGGTAGTGGGTCCTAGCTTATTGCTTACTAGAATTTTGAAAAGACTAGAATTAGTTCCAAACAGTACTGAGACTCCATTGAGTATTGCAGGGTCTAGACATGCCAGAGCCAGAGTGTCCACTTTTCTATTGACACCAACTTCCTTGGGAAACTTCAAGCTCATTCAGACGTATCTGAAGTACAGCTAGCCTCTATGACTCAAACCACCCATTCCAAGCCCCATCATAGGTTTTTAAGTTATTTTACCCAAATACCGATCATACAAACATTGCAAAGTGGTGGTAACTTAAGATCCACTGTCCAAAACAGCATTGCAATTCACATTCTCAGCTTTTACCATCCCTTCTGTATAGTAGATTAGACCTATAGGGAATTGATGATGAGTTAACTGTGACTGTGCTTGCAGCCTAGGGTGACCTTTTCCCTGACTCCTCTCTGATTTCCCTAAGCTGGATCAGAAGATTGTAACTTCTTCATGACCAAAGCTGAATTCTTTCTGCTTTCCAACTCTTGCCAATGATTAGAAGGGCTCCTATTTCTTTGAGCAATTTATCATCCTCAGAGGACGGACAAATCTGAAATTCCAAGGAATAACTGTCAATTCCTCAGGTATGTCTCCATGGTCAAAATTCTCAGACAGACTTGGAGATAATATCTGTAAAGCACTTAGCATAGTGCCACATCCTGGCACATGGTAGGTGCTGTATAAATGCTAGATATTTGTTATCATTATTATTATTATTATTATCATTATATCTGTGATCCTTCTCTTTGTATAATATTAAAAAATTATCTTCCCTCCGTAATTGAGATAGTTACATAATTCCATTTTCTTTCATTTTTGAATTTTTGTATGTGTAAGTCTTCATTCTGCTGGATTTCACTGAGGTACAGGATATTAGTTATGGTTCTAAATCTATTTCCCACTATATTGCTAGCCAAATTATTAATTACCAATACTAATCAAGAATATTTATTAAATAATTGGTCCTTAACCAATTTTTATTTTCTTCAGGTTTTTCTTTTTTTAATTTAATTTATTTATTTTCAGTTTTCAACATTCCCTTCCATAAGATTTTGAGTTTTAAATTTTCTCCCCCTCCTTGGTTTTTCAAGTACTAGTTTTTTTGTATGCACTATGACTGTGGACAAGTCATTAAGCCTCTGCCCCAAACAGCAACTCTTTAAAACTATAAGTTGAAAAGCAGGTTCCAACCAGCATTGAGTGGTGGAGGGAGTTTCCTTATGAGAATTTTCCTATACCAATGATAACACAGGCCCAGTCCAAAACAAAAATAATTTTTTCCTAAATTAAGTTGACTGTTTTAGAATCTATATTTTGTTCCATTGATCTATTTCAACTTTTTCTGGACTGGTAAGAGGCTTCAGCAGTGGTGCTATGTCCAATGTAATGACCACACTGGAGATATCTACTATATACTATGCTGGGATATCTAGAGTCTGAATTATCTGTACTTGTAACTAATTGCTTACTACTTATATTTTCTTTGGGTGAAGTATTATAACCATACTAGATTAGTTTGTTAGTCTTACTCCTAAGGCAGAAGTAGGGGAGAGATAAAGTACAAAAGGTTATTTACTGTTCTACGACCTAACTCCCAGCTCCCAGAGAAGAATACCTCATATTTGGTGATTGACAATAGAAATGGGGGTTTAAAATGATAATCGTTTGATAACAGATTTCCACTATGATATACTGAAAAGGTTATCTCTTTCATTACCATTTAAAATTGCCCTTGAAGTTTTAAATTCTTCAAATGTAGACCTGTTTAAAAGTTCAAAATTAAACTTCACTAATTTATTAGTTAGGAAACAATGTCATGAAATAGCTGTGACCTTGGAAAAGTCACTTTCCTGTTCTTTACCTCTGTAAAATGACCTTCAAGTTTCCTTCTAGCTTTAGAAAAAAAAATCTCAATTCTAATTCTAAATAATTTTCCGTCTTTGGCAACTACCCTATTTTCTCTCATCTCTGCCTCCTGGGTTCTCTGACTTCCTTCAAGTTTCAGCTAAAATCCCACCTTGTGCAAAAAGACTTTCCTGATACCACTTAATTCTAATGCCTTTCCTCTGAAATTATTTCTAATTTATCCTGTGTATATCTTTTCTGTACATACTTGTTTGCATGTTGTCTCCCCCATTAGACTGTGAGCTCCTTGAGAGCAGAGTCATTTTCTTCTGTTCTTTATATCCCCAGGACTTAGTGCTAGTGCCTAGTATGTATTAGGCACTTAATAAATAAATGCTTATTGACTTGATCTGACTTAACTTGTTTAAGTAATTTTTGTATCATCAACCAAAACACTATTTTAGTAAATGTTTCAATTTTTTTAAAAAACATTTAATGAAATTTGTGTTTTGGTAATTGTTTCATTGTTATAACACACCAGAAGAAGATATTACTTACCCAATAAGACATCAGTGATAAGTAGGATTATTTCATTAACTTTCCTTTCCTCCTAAAGGATAAGCTATAAATCTAGCATTCTTCTTTAAAAACCTTTCTCTTATAATGATCTGCCTACTTTAAACAAGTTTTAAAAGAAAGTTTCATAGGTTCCCAAAGCAGGCGATACCACCCCCTGGCTGACACTGGAACAATCCAGGGGGGTGGTAATAGTTTCAAATGATGCAAATTTCAAAATAACTGTTAAAGGATTAAAGAAAGTAGATTTTCAGGGGGCGCTGTGTAATTTTTTAAAAGGGGGTGGTAGGCCAAATAAGTTTGAGAACTCCTACAGGCTAAAGTTATACCTTTTGTCCAAAATTACAAGGATCAATATTAAATAAGGATAAATTGACAAAATGACATTTTCTTCAATTGCGGCTCAACCTTTTATAGTCTTATAACGAAGTAACTTTAAGTAGGAAGTCTTCAACTCTGTAATTATTATGCCACAATAGAAACTTTGACACTTAATTATAGCATTGCTAAGACAATGATACTATGAGAAATACTGGAATCTGAATGTAATATTTCTTGATATACCACTGCCTGGTTTTTAATTGGCTAGAAAGTTATTACACCTAAAGGGGAAGATATACATATAGAAATGAGTATGTGAGTAAAATGATAAGTCATATTTAATACAGTAGGTATTTTAGCTTCTCTGAGCTGGGTTTCTGCTGCTTATTTGGACTGATAGACAGTATCAGTGTGAAAAATCACAAGAGACTATAAGAAATTATAAGAAATTTCAAAGTTCTGGCTTTTGCCATTCAAGTCCAACTATCTTCTAGGAGAAGGAGATGGCTTTGTATCCCCTGCAAATTGCAGGACTGGTTCTTGGATTCCTGGGAGTAGTTGGGACTCTTGCTACAACTCTGCTGCCTCAATGGAGAGTGTCTGCCTTCATTGGCAGCAACATTGTGATATTTGAAAGGATCTGGGAAGGACTTTGGATGAATTGTGTCCAACAAGCACATGTGAGGTGGCAGTGCAAATATTATGGCTCTCTTTTGGCTCTCCCACCTGCCTTAGAAGCATCCCGGGCACTGATGTGTGTGGCGATTGCTTTGTCCTTGATTGCCCTACTTGTTGGCATTTTCAGCACGAAGCAAGCCCGGTGTACTGGCTCTAATGAGCAAGTCAAGTTTTACCTCCTGGGAGCATCTGGAGTCCTTTTCATCCTGACAGGCATCACCATTTTGATTCCTGTATGCTGGACAGCCAATCTCATCATCAAGGACTTCTACAACCCAACTATTCATGTAGGACAGAAACGGGAGCTGGGCGCTGCACTCTTTCTTGGCTGGACAACTTCAGCAGTTTCCTTTATTGGAGGAGTTCTTCTCTGCAGTGTTTGTTTCTGCAAAAGAAGGAGGAGGAGGCACAGACGTTCATCAACAGAACACCGAGTGCAGTACAAACCTCAACACCAAAAAATGATGGCAAGTAAGACCTCTACCAGTTATGTCTAGCACCTGCTAGCTCAGAATATGGACTTAGGTGAAGGTCCTGCTTATCTCTTTCTTGAAACTGTATGAATGGAAAGAGGGAGAGTTTGGTTTGTAACTGGTTATAAACTGTGGTAGAACCCATGGAGGATTGTGTTCTATCACCAGAGTTAAGAATGGAAATGATTTTATGCACAGTTAATTTTAAATTATTTGCTTATTGTTGAACCTGAATAATTTTCATCTCTACTTACACTTCTGCCTAAAACTCCTAGTGGGCATGCTGAACTAACTTTTTTGTCCTATAGTGAAAACTCTCAACTTATGAAAAGAATTTTTTAAACCCTCTAAGAAAATGACTCATAAAAGCAGCAATTGTGGAAAGAAATAAAAAGTCAGAATTCTTACTGGTAATTTTTGAATGAGTGAATGAATGAATGAATGAATGAATGAATAACATGTGCCAATCAATGGAGATATAAGTACAACTTGAAGAAGACTGATTTAAGTGTGCATTTGTTTGGTTTTAGAGATGCCAAAAAAAGACACCATTCAAATTTAAGACCATATGTTTTGATAACCTGTGATGTTCTGAGAGCAAATAGAAGAATGTATATGACCTGAGGAAAGGAATAAGAATTTAGGACATTAACACTAATTTTCATCTACATTAAAAAATAGGTCCAAGTGAGAGACTTAATCTTTTAGTGTTGAAAGCACTAGTTATTCTTTTTGGCTGTGCTATTTAGTCACTTGTCAAGTGTAGGAATATAAAATAAAGTGGAGACTTGAGGTAACAGTTCATTGAGGCAATGATTAAGGCCAAAGTAAATATTTCCCTCCTAAAACATAAAGAGAAATAAAGCAAAAAATAATTTGGCTTCGTAGGAATTATTTGGACCATTATTTCATTTCTTTATTTTACCAGTAAACATATAGATTAGGGAGGTAGGGGAAATATGTTCATTAATTTTGATTTGCTACTTTTCATCCTTCTCTACGTTAAAACATAAACATTTCTAAATCCATTTTTGGCTATTCAAGTTTAGGAAGCACAAAGAATTCTGGGCAATCTACAAAGTTTCCGATGAAAGAACCAAGAATTTAGTTGATTAAGTATTTATTGAATATGTGTTATGTGAAAGGTACTGTTGCAGAGTTGAATACATGAGTGACTTGAACAAGCTCACTCATTATGAAGCAAATTGGTGAAGATAGTCCTATGTTAGAATGTCTTTACAGGGACAGTCAAAAAGTTAGTAACATCTCAAGAAGACCAGGTCCTGATGATCCTTGGCCTTATCTCCTCAACCCTCAGGAGTACCTAACTAAGCCAACCATTTAACTAACTTTATATTTAAATGTAATATCATAAATATGTACTTTATCTAAATGAATATTCATACACAAATGTAACATCAGTAATGGAATAAAAATTAAAAGTAAGAAAGCACTTAATGATCTATATTAAAAATCCAAAGTTCTCTCTATCTCAGACAAAACTCAGAATACTCCCCAACTGTTGACCTAATGTTAGGTGTGTTGAGGAAACACACATACACTTCACACACACACACACACACACACACACACACACACACACTTCATCTCCTATTCTTAAAACAAGTGAGACATCAAGAAAAGCATATTACAAGCCATAGAACCAGCTGTCATTCCACAGGCATCTTTAAACCACAGCCCTCTAAAGCATTTTATTCCTAGTAATCCAACTAAATCAGACAGAAAAATCGATTTAAATTACAAAAATATGGTAGGAAGAGGAATCATTAGTTTTTGGAGAACAACAATAACTGTGGAATGGTGTGCTGAGATTTAAGAAATAAGAAATTCTGGCCATTTCATTCATCAATTGTGAGTTTTCACTAGAGATAACTCATTTCTGTTTTTAATCTGAAAAGAGAAACTTATTTACTGATAAATGAAAATAAATTTAATATTTGAATACTTGGATAGACAACAAATATTGTACATACGTACTATATATTGTAATTCATAGATTTCAGTAAAAATGCACAATAAGAATAATCCCTTACATCCCCATGGTGTTTAACAGTTTTAAAGTTGCTTTATTATTTCAAGGTATATTACATATTGGATCATCACTGTCTCATTTGATCCTTGAAATAACACTTTTTATGGTTGTAGCAAGCCAAGCCTTATTGTACCTTCTTTACAGATGAAGAAACTGAGGCCCAGAAAGGCTTGATATTCAACTATTTTCAACACCAATTGAATAGTAAAAATTTAGTAAATGCTTGTTTTTGAAGGTTGGGCAAATACAATGTAGAAACAGAAGAAAAAGAAAGAATAGAAACAGGAAAAAAGAACATACAGTACCTGATCTCTGATAGTTTCCTATTTCCAGGCTAGCATGAATAATATGAACTTAGCCAAGTCCAGACTTTATAACATTGAGTTATAAAATGGACCCAGTTTTGAAACCAGATTTAGAATGAGAAAGCATCAGTCAGTAAATATTTATTGTTTGATAAAATGCAAAAAAAAAACACATAAATCTAAGAACTATTAAATAAACCACTTTGAACTACTTCAATGTCATGACCCATTTTAGACATGCACCTATAGAATCACAATGCATCAAAAACAAATTTGATCATTTTTATATATTTTTTCCTATTCTTAAGCATAGTATAATGGACAGTGAACTGGCCTCAACACCTAGAAGACCTGAGGTCAAGTATTGCCTTTGACATATACTGTCTATGTCATGCTAGGCAAACGCATTACCCCTCAGAATTCTAGACAATATCTTAAGACTATAAATTACAGAGAAGGTGCTGACATACATTGGTACAGTGAGTTCCTCACCAGGTAGTTCCTTAACTCCAAGAAAACACAGGTCTAGTCCTTTTCGTTAAAACCTTAATCCTGCTTGTTACATGTAGTCATAATTTTCTCATTTGCATGTTTGAATAATAGCTATGACATTAGACTATAACAGATCTGAGCAAAAGAATTATGATTTGAAAATCTATGAAATCTTGACTAGTTAAATGTTCAATTGTAAAAATATAGGCAATAACGTTCTCTGAGACTAGAGATGACTTTACCTCAATGAAGAGCCAATCACTCCAAAAGCATGTTAGGATTAAAAGATCTAACTGCATGATTTGTGATAGAATATTCATCATTTTATTTGTAGCATGTTTCTTAGGAAAATTGGGTAAAATAGGATAGTAAGCCTATATCATCCTTAAGTTCTCTGGTATAATATGCCATTTTAGTGCATTTGGTGAAGATTAGATAACTTCCACAAAGCTTACTTTGGTTCACATTGGTGCTGAATTTGGAGTCACTTGGACAAGTCCCTTAACCCCTCGCAGCCACAGTTACTCATCTGTAAAATGAGAGAATACGTGGACACAAGTTCTCTTCAAACTCTTAATCTGTGATCCTCTGATTTAGGTCAATAGGCAATTTCCCAAGGACCAAGGCCTCTGCTGTTCCTTCCCTAACAACCACAAAAGAGAAAAATGTGCAGGTTACTCATGACATAACCTTGCTTCTTCAGAGATGCTACTGATTTGGCAATTCTAACTAAGATAGAATGTAATCTTTCCAGTTCCTATATACACAAAACTATAGCCACACTGTTTATAGTAGTAAATAACTAGAAACAAAGTAGATGCCCATAAACTGAGGAATGGCTAAACAAATTGTGTATGTGAGTGTAATGACATATTACTAAATTATAAGAAAAATGAATATGGAGAGAAGTACGAGAAGACATGTAAACTGAAATAAGTGAAATAGTCAGAACAAGGGAAATAGTATACTCAATGACTACAACAATGTAAATGGAAAGAATATCAAAAAATTGAAACAATGCTATGAAATTATAATGAAAATATAAATAAATAAAATAAAAAATAAAAAAGATATGAGAAATACCTCCTTCTCTTATTTCCAGGAGTGGAGAACTATGGTTGTGGAACACTATATATAAAGTCAGACTTCACTGATGTGTTAATTAGTTTTGTGAACTTTTTACTTCTTTATCCTTTGCTTTAAGAGATAACATCCTCTGAGATGAGGATAGGGAGAGATATATTGGGAAATGGAAATGATCAAAAGATCAATAATTTTAAAATAATATTTCCCTCCTCAAATTTTTCATAGTACTTTGCTTGTACCTCTCCCTTACACTTATTACACTCTCCTTTGTATCATAGCTACTGTGCTTATGTCTCACTGCCCATTATTTTTAAATTATTTTAAAGTAGGATCTATGTCATATTGCTCTTTATATTTCCAAGGCATAGAACAATGCCTTGCACATAGCAGGCACTTAACAAATGTTTGTTGTTAAACACTGGACTAAACTCTTTTTGGAAATAGAAAAAAAGAAGACACAGTCTTTAAATTCCAAGAGTTTTCAATTCCCAATTTTAAATGAGTCGTACGTGCTTACTCAGGTTCAGTGCTTTCATCTGCTGAGATAGGCAATGAGCTCTAAGGGTATGGACAGCAGGTTCATAAAGGTATAGCTTGCAAAAGGTTTCACTGCAGATCACTGACAAGGCTTGGAGCCTCCTGGCTTGTGCCAGAACAGACTTACATGAAAACTAAAATGTTCTATTGGGTGCTACGTAGAGCATTTCACCAAAACTGAGGTCCGCACTGTTCGCTCTACAACAAAAAGAATGTGTAGGTGACTCATTGATGCACATAAAATAGTATAGAAATTAGTGTTGGTACCAATGTTTGTGGCCTTTGCCTTTGATGATCTAATAGACAGGAAGTTGCTACACACAAGACCAGAAACATTATGCATGGTATCTTGGCAAAGTAATATAATTGAGAAAAAATAACAATTATTCAACACCAGTTTTAAGGTAAAAGAAACATTCTTTGATCACAGTAAGATACTAGATACGATAACTGTGAACAGCATCTCTGGTTCTTTCAGCATTACAGCATGGTAGAAATGTGCCTACTGTTAATTAAAGGCATATGAGTAGGTTGTATGATCATCTCACAGAAGGGGAGAGAAGCCCAATCTCAGTAAATTAAACCTTAAACGGGAGTTTCCAGTAATTAAATCCAAAGTGAAGCAAGCAGTTTGCTACAGCATTTAGCTATGAGGAATAATACAGTGCTATCAAAAATAGTGCAAAAGACTGAGAATATAACTTCAAAGAAGAATGGAGGAGATAGAGAATTCTGCAATGATTTTAACTCAATGGTTTTGAGGGTTGTAGGAGAGGGGCATGAATACTCCTTGCTGCCTATTTCTACTTCCACATTCACTCTACCACTATCATTTACCTTCCCTGATACCTATAAAAGTGCTCATCACACAAAAAAGTGTACTCCCACATCCCTAAAAAGATCACCCTTAACCTTATCATCAATGCTATCTTTAGTCCTATATCTCTACTCCACTGAACTTTACTCCAAAAACTCATCCATATTCCCTAGTTCCACTTTCTCCTCTCATTCTCTTTTAAATCCTCTTCAATTTGACTCTTGATCTTATCTTTCAAATCAAACTGCTTTCTCCAAAGTTAACATGTTCTCTTAATTGCTAAATCTAATGGATTTTTCTCAGTCCTCATTCTTCTTGGCCCACTTTAATATTGTTGACACTCTTGATCACCTTCTCCTACTAGATATTCTTTCTATTCTATCTTGATTCTCCTCCAACCTGACCATCACTTCTTGGTCTCCTTTGCTGGAACTTCATCCTTGACACATTTCCTAAATGTGCATGTTCCCCAAAGCACTATCCTAGGATCTCTTATTAATCCATACTATAATCTTTGGTGATCTCATCAGTTCCCATTTATCTCTATGCAAATGTTCCCAGATCGATATATACAATTCTAGTCTTTCTTCTAAGCTCCAAATCCACATCTGAATCTGCCTAGTGGACATTTTGAACTGGAAGTTCTATAAACATCTCACACTCAACATTTCCAAAATTGAATTCCTTAACTTTTCCCCATAACCTTCCCCTCTTCCAAATTTGCTTCAGGTTCCCAACCTCAATACACTCCTGAATTCTTCATTGTTCCTCATCCCACATAACCAAGCAGTTGGAGAACCATGTCTTTTCTTTTTCTATAACATCATATGTATATATACATATGTGTACATAATTTATGTTTATGTGTGCATATGTATATTTGTTTGAATATATTTATAGAGATATCTTATATGTACATATATTTTAGTAGCTTAAAACTGCACTAAGACTTTGGGACATCCTGCATCTATACATAGTATATATTTACCACACACACACACGCATGTACGTGCATGCACAATGCACACCTACATAGATA